TCGCACTGATGGTGGGTTTTTTTGCAGATTTGAAATTCTCGCGATCGACTCGGCCGATTCCGATTTGCCTCTTTCAGATCAAAAGGAGTTTAATTCATTCATTTTCTAATCAAGTACATTATTCATAATCTTAAGCGACTAACTTCTTGTTTACTAATATGAGATAACGGTCCGTTAATTTCGACACGGCATGTTCTTCTTTCTCAATAGTAACCCTACACCTACCAAAAAAATGCTGCTCTAGGCATTTTAATCGGTGTCACGACTAGCCACGACAGCAAGTTTCGAGCAAACCCCTTTATGACTAGCTAGTAACGATATTTTCCTCACAAGCAAAAGACACATTCCTATCCTAACTCTCTCTTTAACACTCCGACGACACTGACGAACCATAATCACTGGAGGTAACGAGACTGCTTAAAGATACCAGAACAGATCAAGCTTAGAGGGAGAAACAAAGATGAAGAGGGACCGATGCAGAGCTGTCTCAACTTCCATGGATGGAGGGCAAACTTGGAATGACGTTACAGTGACATCGAAGCAGAGAAAATCGGTGGGGGAGAGAACAGAGGGAGGAAAAGCACGAGGTGAGCTGGTGGGGGGGGGGAGGGGGAAGACGAGCGAGATCTGGAATGTGATAACATGAGAGAGTGATGGGCACTGCTGGTGGCTTGGAGGATCGACTTGGGGACCATGTTGGAGAGAGTTAGGTTTGCTCACATGCATCCCCACAAGTCCCTTTTTTTTCTTCCCCCCAAATTGATGAAGTTGAAAGATGGGGATCAGCGTGTGTCCTTTCACGAGCTTTGTCTTCCAGAAAAGAGGGTCACCCTCTCGTGGACATCTTTACGTCTTTAATGACGGGAGACCCCACCCATGAGACGAGACCCCGTCATCTCCTCCTCCGAATCCAAAGCGGGTTAAGAGAGAGAGAGAGAAGGAGAGAGAGGAGAAAGACGGAAATATTATAACGTGTTTGTATCGCGCGACGGAACAATCGATTACGTCATTATGTCAATCTAGGGTTTTTTTCCGATGATCTCGCCGTGCCACTGGATTGTGTTCCAAGGAAAAGTCAGATTGCATTCGACGTCGCTCGCCCTTCTGAGCGTCATCATGGAGATCCTGTTTTCGTTCACGACGTTCGATTTGAACCGTAACTATTCAGAAAAAAGAAAAAGAAGAAAAAGGAGCAGTTGTTTGTTGGGAACTCGGTCCATAAGTTAGGGTGATTTTTCACGCTCTACAAAGTATGGAGCCGTATTAGCATGTGGTAAGTGTAGGGACAAGGCAATAGCATCTTCCTCCATCCTTTGTTATCTTTTATGCCTATAAATTCAAAGAAGGTCTGCCTCCACAAATTCGTGCAAATGGGATTCATTGTGGATCGATTCTGCATATGGGACAAGCTCCATAACAAATTAGTGGTGGAGAAAGAATCGCTAGCATGGGGAAGTGGGATGTGAAAACTATTGATGTGTGTGTAAAACTCGTGGATCTCTAGCCTTGACTTCGTTTTCCACTAAACCCTAGGGTGGGCTCTCCAATGAATTGCGCTTTCACTTTCAATCTATCTATCTATGGCCATCGTGCAATTCCGTTGTCTGGTCTATTTTACTATAAGAAACGAAATTGCATGTGATGACATGTTAAGTCCAATCTCCTTCGATTCCTTCTCAAGCTTTTTCCATCTTTTGGATCACCGTGGACGTGTAATTTTGTGCGTATAATTTGCATGCTGATCAATGCAGAGATAAAAAACTATATTTCATTTCGTATGAACTCTGTTAACTTAGGAATCAAATCGAACAAATGCCTATAAAAGGTTGCGAAAAACCCTAAACAGAATACAAGGGTAGAGAGCATTCGATCCTACGGCCACCCCATCCTAAATCACCTTGCGTTCGGTCTCGATCCGGAGCCCCACTGCTGCAAGGCTCTTTTGGCACTCCAAATCAAGTTGCTGCGAGAGGCCCACGGATTAGGTTGAAAAATCAAAGATAATCAAAGACGTATCGTATCGAGACAAGAGACCTTATTGTCCTAAGGTATAGAGACAACGCGTGAGACGTTGGTAGGTTGATTGTAGAAAAGTTTTTGAAGTTCAAACAACAGAGCTCTCATTCCTCGAAGCCCCGATGAAAGCAGAACGCAAGGAGCTCTATTGAAAATTCGACACGATAAGTTCATTCCACACGAGCATGCTTTCCATTTGCCGCTCTTTCGCGGATCCCACGGACCAGAATATTTTCCCAGACGCAGCCTTACGGATGCCGCGTTCACGGTATCCGAAGACCATAAGGGCAATCCATTGCAGAGGCCGAAGAGCCGTGTGTATCGCGGGATAGCTTACGTGGCGCGGAGATAACCGTGGTTAGCCGATGATATCGAATCATTCGCGTAATTAATACACAAACTACCCGGGGGCCGAAAAAAAAAAAAAAAGAAGCTCGAGTACTGTGCATGTGAGCAGTAGACGCGTGGCGCAGAGATCACGTAGCTTTGGAGAACTTTTTTTCTTTTTTTTTTTTTTTTTGATCTTTCGAAAGAGGAAGTAGGTCGATGATATTGAGCTGACTCTGTGACATTCACATCTACTACACCAATACACACGCACACATCCATCACAATAAATCGAAAAAGTAGCTGTTTTTAGCCCAGGGAGTACGGACAGAAAACTCTCTTTTAGTCCTTTGGGACCACGCGGAGATCAATATGGGAGTTTCAGGTCCCGAGTGTCCAACAAAAAAAAAAAAACAACAACATTAAAAAAAAAATTTGAAACACCCAAAAAAAAAGAGAAAATTAAATGAAGAAAAGTAGGAGGACTCCAAGCTCCGTCTCCCCCCCTCCTCCTCCTTTCCAACATCGTTTTTTTTTTTTTTGGACACGATCTAGAGGAGGGGGGAGCCACGTGTCCGTTCGAGATTCGTGAAATCCCGATTTCGCCCCCGTTCCCTTTTAAGGGGGGGTTGCCATGTCGGATCGCGAAGATATGCGAGTCGTGAAAGGTCGTATCGCATCACGTGATCGCTTCCCAAGGTGTCGCTTCGTCGACGAGATTATCTCATCCTCGACGCATGTTGAAAATCCATGGCCGTCGAGGATATCTAGTTGAGCCGTGATGTTATCTCGACACGTTATTCTATTTAGGAAGGAGGGCACGTGTCCATTCGAGAATTGTGAAATGAATCCCAATTTCGCCCCCGTAAACTTTTGGGGGCTACCATGCCAGACCGCAGAGATGCACGTCGTTAAAGGTCATATCACGTCACGTGATCGCTTCCGACGATATCGCTTCTTCGACAAGATTATCTCATCCTCAACGCATGTTGAAAATCCATGGCCGTCGAGGATATCTAGTTAAGCCGTGATGTTATCTCGACACGTTATTCAATCTAGGGAGGAGGAGGACACGTGTCCGTTCGAGATTTGTGGAATCCCAATTTCGCCCCCGTTCCCTTTTGGGGGTCGCCGAGTTAGATCGCAGAGATGCGCGCCGTAAAAGTCGTATCACGTCACGTGATCGCTTCCGACGGTATCGCTTCTTCGATGAAGTTATTCTCATTCTCGACGCATGTTGAAAAATCCATGGCCGTTGAGGATATCTAGTTAAGCCGTGATGTTATCTCGGCACGTTGTTCAATTTGAGGAAAGCGGGTATGCGATCTATGAGCGCTTTGTTAGGAGTGGATGCGGTGTGCATGTGGTATGTTGGTGGGCACGGGATGGATTCTCAAGCTCACTTCAATTGCAGAGGACAAACATTAATTTTGAGAGCAAGCTCCAAACCCATAACACACTTGAATGTTGAACATGGTGTGACCTTAGAAGGAAGAGACTAATAATGCTTTTACTAGTTTAGGATGCTTCGACCCAAACTAAAGAAGTCCTAATTCTTGAAAAATCACTACTTCATAATAAAAATAGGAATTCTTCTTCCACGTGAACAACGCGAAAACAGAGTCCGAGTCTGCGTGATGATAGTAAAAAATATGAAATTGTTTTAGTTTGTCCACGGTAAAATGCTTGGATATCGAGAATGAGGACACTGGAATGAGAATGAAAAGCCCAATTCGATGTATCGGCGCATTTAATTGGTTAAAAGGTGGCCGAATGTAAATTTAAATCGGGAATGGAGATTCACGCATTACTGCACTTTCAATAACATAAAATGAGTTGGGAATGAACAAGAATCAATGAGAATGAGTCAATAAAAATAGGGACGAGTGCATTTGAAGTCCTAAAACTTGTCAACAAAGTGTGATTGAGTCTTAAAACTTTCAAATAATGCAATTAAGTCCTAAAACTTGTTAGAAAAGTGCAATCAAATCTTAAAACTTTCAAAAACAGTACAATCAAGTCCCAAAACTTGTCAGATTGGTCCAACCAAGTACTTCTGTTGATTGCACTTTTTGAAAGTTTAAGGACTCGATTGCACTTTCGTGGCAAGTTTTAGGACTTGATTGCACTTTTTTAAAATTTTAGGACTCAATTGTGCCTTTGTGACGAGTTTTAGGACTTCCAGTGCGCTTATCCCTAAAAAATAAAAGCAAGTAGACGTGAGGATGTCCATAACTAAGTCTTGCCTTCGGTAACTTCTGTATGGGAAAAATTTAACACGGCAAGTACACTCATCTAATTTCCTGTTGTGTGCAGCAATTTGAAACACTAAAACCTCGATCAACAAAAAGATGCATTCCAATTTCGATGTGTTACCAAATGCAGTAATTTTCCAAATCAATTCATGCTCCGATCCCTCGTAATTCATTCCGATTCCTTTTTATCTTATCCTTGTTACCCTACTTCCTACATACCAGAAGGGGGGCCTAGTGGTGATGATGAGAAAGCCAAAAGGGCATAAGGGTCACACCCGAACAGTCTTCCAGAATGTAACTGCAATAAAGATGCGAAGGAAGACGGTTAAAAAAAAATAAAAATCCCCAAGGGGAAGTGTCTTCCCTCGGCAGCTATAAATAGACCCTGCTGAATCAAGCACTGTCCCAGCATAGTTAACACAAACACAAACACAAACACAAACACCAACACAAACACATTCTCTCTTCAAGAACTTCAAATGTCTATTGCTCTCAAATGCTTCTGTTTCTGCAGAAGCTCTCTTTCAGGTGATGATCCTCCACCTGTGATTTCTCGGCCTATGTTTCTGTGACTGTTTCCCCACCTTTCTGCTCACAATTCTCTGGTTCTTTCCCACTACTCTTTTGTTTTTGCTTTTGTTTTTTTGATACCATTTACTCTCACTTTGGCACTTTGCCCAAATCCTGTTCTTCGAGTTCTTTTTTTGCATAGTTTGCACTTCTTGAACGGTCATTTGAAAGCTTCTTTGTTTGTTTGATCCTAGAGAAACAGAAGGGCTAGTTTTTTTTTGTCTGCCCTGTTTCCTCCACTCCACATATTAGATCTCACACCCTGCTTATACCCTGTTTTTTAACCCCTAGAAGAAAGAGGAAAAAACACCAGTTTCCCAATAACGAAATGGAAAAGATTCAAGAAGACCAGAACCCATTCTCACAGAACAACATTGACATCGGATCATCACTGTCTCAACTGATTTTAGCTGGTGGGAGCAGCACCATAGACTCTATCTTCTCCTTATGTTCATCACCATCACCATCACAAACACCACCACCAATTCCTACTACGCTCACAAGCACAATCACCAGCCCCTCTGTTTTTGAGCCGTTGGGCTCCTCCGTTTATCTCCTCCAGAGAGATCTCCTCCACAAGTTCTCTCAGAGAAACAGGTCATCGCCAAACTTCTCATACACAACAAGCCCACTTCGGACTTCAGTGTGTTCGACCACTTATCCGAGTCCATGCAAGAAGAAGCTCTACAGGGGGGTGAGACAGAGGCATTGGGGCAAATGGGTGGCCGAGATCAGACTCCCACAGAACAGGATGAGAGTGTGGTTGGGCACGTATGACACTGCTGAAGCAGCTGCTTATGCATATGATAGGGCTGCTTATAAATTAAGAGGTGAATATGCGAGGTTGAACTTCCCCAACCTTAAGGATCCGAGCAAGTTGGGGTTTGGCGACTGCTCTAGATTGAACGCTTTGAAGAGCTCGGTGGATGCTAAGATTCAGGCTATCTGTCAGAAGGTGAAAAGGGAGAGGGCTAAGAAGAGTGCAAAGAACAGTAGTGGCAGTTCTAATGGTGGTGTTGGTGGTAAGAGCGCGAGCGAGAAAGTCACGAAAGTCGATTCGTACTGCTCTTCGTCGTCGCTGTCGCCGCCGTCGCCCCTGTTTTTTGGCGAAGAGGATTGGACAAGCGAGCTGATGGCGTCCGACGTTTCGGAGGACGGCTTTTGGAAGCGCGAGAATTCGCAGCCTTCCTGCTCCGCCGATGGCTCGGCAGTCATCGCCGAGGAGTCGGGGAGCGAAGGGTGTTCGCTTGCTAAAATGCCGTCGTTCGATCCGGAGTTGATCTGGGAAGTTCTTGCTAATTAGATGCGAGGAAACTTTTCTCAGCGTGAATAGCAGTGGAATTTTTGCGCGTAGCGGGAAAGGAGTCTATCTACTTTATCGGAACTCGGTTGGCATCAAGTGTACATTCATAGTCGCATTAGTCTCTTAAAGTTGTCAGGATGCTCTCTCCTGTCTCTGTCTCTCTCTCTCTCTCTCTCTTGTTTAATTTGGGCATTCAATGTCGAGTACGAGTCTTTCTGTCTCGTCTGGCTCTCTTGTGTATCAGGGCGACGATGTTTTATGCATTAAGCCCCCCCTAGTAGTGTTGCAGCGATTTATCTTTGAGCATAAACCTATGGTATCCTACGTTGTTACAGATCGATCAAATCCGAATCATTGTGGCAAAAACTCAGGTCTTTTTCGCTCTTTCCGAAGCTTCACATCCGCACCATCGACGGGCTCACGTTACGGCTCGTTTGATGTCCGATGCATAGCTCCTCTCGACACGGTTCTCCATCCATTGGGAATTTTCTTGAAGAGGGCTCTCTGAGGATGAAAAGGTGTACAGGGTGGACAGGAGGGTCGAATATATAGGTGTTGTAGCGTTATGAATCCTAATCTCGACCGCTGGCATCACGAAAAATGAACTCACCCACCACGTTAACAACTTATCCTCCACGCATCTTTATGGTGAGAAAGCAACATGTGAAGAGGCTATGGTCCTCTTCCTGATCCTCCATCATGAGATAGGAAAGACCGAGTAATCACATCTCCAGATTAAGCCTAGTCGTCATATCGATTTATACGGCAAAAGTAGTTCCGTGCAACCTTTTCTTTCTGGACCAATTTGACGAGGCCCTGGCACAGGAACATGAGGATGGGCCGTTCATCATGCGATTTAATTCAATTGGGCGATACACAGATAAACTCGGAGTTAGTGCATTCAATTTGGTTCAACACAATAATCTGTCCTCCAAAATCTAGCGCAAGGCTTGTTGGTTAGTGAACGGAGCATAGAGTAACTACTTTTGAGAGCATTACGACATATGCTACATTCAGAAGACAGAGAACATACATGATGAAGCATAATTTAGTTCCGTACAATGGAAATTGATATCGGATGGCTATAGGAGAACTCTTGCCGCTCGTATTTTCCTCCTTAATGTATGAACAACCAAGACTTACGGATAGACGTTCCAGCAAAGGAGTCCCAGAGGCAAACGTACGACGGACACTGTGTGTCATTACCAACTTAAATTATTCTTTGATTGCTGCAGTCGACTATTGTATGCCCTCTCTATCTCATCCTGCAAGAAACAGAAAGCACGTGGTGGATGGAATGTTCTTTAATTGAAGTGATAATCTACTGCTTCCCTTGGTCCAAATGGATGGTTGAGCAGAAATTGAATCAGGGAAAAGGTGCACGGAACAGTGACCAAGTGACCTGCTTAGAACAGGAATGACTAGGAACTAATCAGACCGTATCTTTTCTTTATCATCCGAGAAATGCAAGTGATCGAACTTAATGAACCACACGTGCTAGTCAAGATGACTCCAGCAAATCCTCATTTGAAGTAACGGATAGTGAGTCAAAACGTAGTCCTATCATCAAACCGATTGACAATGGTTCGGTTCGCAGAATGAAATGCAATGCGGCAACAAGCTCGGATGAAGTATACCTTGCAAGATCTCAGTAAGGGCTGCAAAAATGATGATCGGAAGTATCTCACTGCTCGTCCAAGCGAGGTTCTGTCCAGTTCTGGCATGAAATGGAAAATGAAACACGTGTAACTACTGACCAATGTGAGGTAGAAACACTAAGATCAAAGTTGATATTTTATTTCCTTACCATCATCCATATCAGCTCTTGAACCACTCATGTTGAGTTCTTGCAGAAGCTGTAAGGCAAAAAATATCAAAGAAGAGCCCACAAACCAGTACCCTTCATTTCGGAGAAGAGCAAATCTATGCACGCACATCACTACTCTATTTACGTATGTGACATCTGAAGGATATTCTAGACAACGTAATGCAAGACGGGAAGATATTCTGCCCTTATGAATGATTTAAAACTTGATTTAAATTGTCTTATATTTCATCAGAAAGCTGAACGACTGGATGATAGGCTGCACCAATCGCTATTAAACTGATGAAGCATGAGTTTCAGATTGAACAAGTACTTGAGATTAAAGGTACATACATGACAGTTCGTGAAGAAAATAAACAGGAGATGGGAAAGATGCTTCTCTCATCCAGCCAGTGTTCCAAAATGAGAATTAGCAGCAACTAAAATGATTCTTTTAAAACACTACAGGTAGTGAATTCTGAGCATATTCATGGCTAGCTTGTATTGAGGCCTTATGGTCGGGGAAAAATGGATGACTCTGGGGAGATTAAGTACCTAGCAATCAGTATTGGTCGAGTGTACTAAACTTGCCTGTGAAAGGGTTGGCACTGCAGTAGGATCAAATTCCTCGCACTTATTCGGGTCAATAGGGACACATACGCGACCTGAATTAAAGAAAAATTAAGTGAAGCGATATTACTAAATACCAGTTTGCTAATGAAATTGACAGACAATGTGGATGTTGAAAAGGAAAAAAACATGATGTCTTGTAAATGGATGCACGACAAAGGCTTATCTACGAGAACCCATCTGTACCTGTTTTTGGATGTACACAGAATGGTGCCTTTAGCAAATGGTTCATGTGTTTGGATACCTGACAGGTCAATAGGTCATAGAGTTGTTAAGTAAGCATGCACAGTTACCGTTGAAAGTCTCCAGCTAGCTTATTTTCCTCTCAGGGTAAAATTGACACACTACTCCAGGGAGCTGAGTTTCTGAACTACAAGAACACTGAGATCGGCGCGAAAGAAGAAAATTAGAAAGTGCTCGGAACTTCACAAACCTCCATATCGAGCCTGGGATAGGTAAAAGAAAAAATTATCTCTTCAATGCACCTGTGCAGTCCTTGTATGTGCTGCAAAGCAGAGGCAATATATGTCTGAGAGAAAAGCGCAGAGATTGCATACTGAGGTCTAGTTTCCTGAAGCATACAATGCTCTTATCTACCTCTACCATGAAAATGCAACTTGTTTAGCCCAAAAGGATAGTTTGCCTCAACAGTAAGTCCAGAAAACAAAACGAACTATCAGAAAAAAGAAAAGCAGGGAATCAAACCTTATGAGATCTTATTAGATGCATTGACATAACCACATTATCAAGAATTTGAAAAGACTCGTTAGTTCCCTTTGAGGAATCAAAATCTGGAGTCTAGAGGCAACGGTGACAGCATAATACACATCTCAAGTATCTCTCCACAGAGAATAACAATTGAAATTCAATTGCTTATCCTCATGCATGTGCCTGCCCACATCATGGGTTCCCAGACTCTGGCATGTGGAGGATCAAATGAATCCATGGGACATCAAGGAAATAGTGCAACCAACAGACTGACCGAACCTGCACCTTCAGCCAACCAATTGCTCGAAAAATTGACTGCGTGATAGTCTGTCTGTGTATACTCAGTGCCCTCATCAAAACAACAGATTCTCAACTCTACAGACTGGTCAATTATAGCATAGCATGCTTCAGAAGAGGACCAAAGCCCCTTTCCAATGGCATAGCACATTTAAGTAATTTGTATTCATGCCTATGGCAGAAGCTTTTTATGCGCTGTATCCCCGGTGAAGTTTCCAAAATTTATCTTTGCATAATCAATAGGTATCAATATGATACGGCTATTATCTTACCTTGAGTTTTCCGGAGCGGAGTAAGCTCTTTAGCTGCTCCCATCGGACAACATTAATGTCATCCTTTGAACCATGGGATTTTCTCTTCTCCTGCCACTTCCCCCGCAGCTCAGCAGCAACAGCTAGAAAGAAGAAAGGTCTTCGTGAATAACAAGTGCATAGGTTATCCAAATGAAACCTAATGACCCAACAAAACCCCTTAAATTTCAATACATTCATCAGAAATCATATCCAGGATCTTCTCGTATTTCTCTTCAGTTGATAGTATATTTTGGCTCAAAAGCACTTTTCCCTCGAAGAAATCCCTTAGAACATCTGTATATGATCTCCTGCAAAGGTAAGACTTGTTGAGAAGTTGATCCAGGGGTTGAAAAGAGAAGGAGAAGGGGAAGAGGATCTCCTTTTAGAACTTACGCAAGGAACGGATGAAGAACTGGACCCACTAAAGAAACCTTCTTATTGCTATTTTCATTGCCCTGAAAGCAGTAAAGGAAATAAACGAATTATGCAAGACGCGTGAATAGTCTAGAAACAAAAAGGTAACTAATGCAGTGATAGAAACAGTACTTTATATACACGGAAGTACTCAGCAATAGCTGCCCTCTGTTCATTAGACAGTCTGCATGATTGGCGGCAGTGTATTTTAAACCTAAATTCATCAAAGAAAATGCAAAGAAGTAAAACTTTGGTATTCAACCATATGCAGCATCACCTTCTTGCTTTCCCATCACAAACCCAACAATGAACACCACGTCGGCCGCTATATACCCATAAAATGTGATTGAAGCCAAAGTCATCTACAAAGGAAACAACAATTTGACGTCATGAGAACATATCGACCAGCCATAGATGCTGAATGTAGTACGTGCACATAATTATCCAGCTCCCCTGGGATGTGATCTGAATGTGGAAATGGCATAAACTGATATATTTAGATGAGAGGAAAGATAAAATCAGCAAATTGATCAATGAATCTGTAACAAGTTTTGCATACTAATTTGTGCATATCTACGCCAAATTGCTATGGAACATTAACTTACATGATGAGCAGACTTCGATAGTGTACACACATTTTTAGCTCTACAGAATGCATCGTGCATTTTGAAAGTGTGCTAAGATACTAGTAACTTGCTAGCTGCTCAAGATTTTTCCGACACAGCTGAACTTCAGAGCTTGTTTCCGTTACATAAAACCGATTAAAGAAACTTAATTGACGTTCAGCAAGTGATGAACACGTAATTCCTTTAAGAAATTGATTAGCTATGATCGCACTTGGAAAGAATTGGAATTTGAAATGGGAAAGCTCGGACAATACACTTTTCAGGGACGATGAACTGACCACATCCTAGATTCATTTATTGGCACTAGATTATGTCTGCTGGGATCATAACTGACGACCGTAAATGTGGTTTCTACAGAAAGTCCTTTTCTGGCCATATAGATAGCAATCTGATGCATGGACCTAAAAAGGTCAGGATGGCAGACAAAATGTGTGAAGGAAAAGAAAGATCCGAAGCAATAACCTCTTAACTGAAATAGAAGGCATGCCTAATGCTGCTGTATAAGGATCCTACCTCTGAGGGCAGTGTCCATTACTTTTATAGCCACAGTCATCAGTGGCCAGCAGTCCAAGCAGATATCAGCTCCAGAACAGCAAAATCTAACGTCATCGTAATCTGTTATATCCTATTGGCAGAAGATCAATTCAAACAGTTTGACTACCGAGTGAAATCATAGTTTAGAGGAGAACAGGTCTGACGTGCTTGATGTATAAAAGCTTACAACATCAAAGACGAGCTCCCTCTCCACTGGAGTAAAAACATTATCACCAGTTTGTGCGTAAGCATGTCTCTTTGCAGGCTGCATAACACAACATAATCAACTAAGATACCTTTGAAAGGCAGTAAAGTTCATTATCTTCTTTCCCTCAAGAGATCTAGGGCCACAAGGAAAATATAGTAGGACAAATGCACATCATCACCATGTATCTATCCTTTCATGATTTCACAAGTTGTTGTTCATCACATTGTTTATGAAATAGAGAATAAAACAGTATAGTAATTTATTGACAATAGCATTATACATTAATTCTTTCTTTATGTGTGCAAACTGCAGTACTCCTCTCATTAAGGAGTCCTGCTTATGCTTCAAACTGATCACACACTTTGAAGGGTCTTTATTCCAAACTAAAGACAAAAGGTAAATAAGTATCTTACATTCACGCTGTAAACCGGTCCAATATCTATTTTAAATGGGCATTTTTCTTTGATGGAGCTTTCCAGCTCATATGCGCTTGTGTAGGACAGGAACCGCAGGTAGATGTCATTATCCAGTGTGAAAGAAAATTCTCTACGGCCAAAGTATGTTGGATCGCAGCCGGGGTGCTTTCCATCTGCATAATCAATAACAGTATGCTTACAGGTTTGACACATGTGCATAATAACATGAATAAAGTGATCGAGCAGCGCGTTGCTCGTCGGTTTAGACATACATTCAACTTACCATGGCCATAGGACATCCATTTGAAGATATCAGAATATGGAAAGATCTTTCCTGCAACAAATAAATTCTTCTGTAAACCATGAAATAATCTCGAATTGAACTCTGGTCTTAAAATCCCAACTATAAATGCTTCCAATGTCAAAGTTAGGGGGTTACTAGGCGGAACCTCGTGCTCATTCATTTAACTCAAAGCAGATAAACCTAGTACAATGTTATTTCAAGTAAATGGTCCAATTCCATTCCCTTCAACAAAATGGTCCTAGAATCTGGGATCATCATCATCAACATGGCAAATTCATCAACCCAAAATCATAGGCTAGTGGATAAGAGAGACAAACTTCTTCTTGTCACTATACACTCATTTGTTGAAGTAATACATGTGTTGTAAACATAAAATTCATGGTGACAGGTACGAACGGCTAAACGAAAATCCCTCAGCCAACATGTCACCGCAGTATGAAAAAAGTTCTCTTGTTTTGTTTTTTCAATAAAATGCTGGATAGAAAATCTTTGCTCTCTATGGGAAAACACTGCACATTATTTGCCTGTTTGTCAATTTATCCAACATGAATTAGCTAAAACCTAACCAATCAAAGCGGGCTGGTGATCTTTGCATATGAGTGCTATCAAAGAAGAAAGCTCCGTACAATATTCAAAAAGGTGATCAATTGAATTTTACAGTAACAAAGTGTCACGTGAACTTAAGATTGAGGAATTACCATAGTAAGCTTTGAGGTAATTGGGATTAAATCCATCAGGCATGATATCTCCATGCCTCTGTGCAGGCATTTCTGGTTCGTTGCCATCAATTTCCATGTCCTCCCTACAATTCTCAGCTTCCCCTCGATTCATCTCTCAATCATACACCTGTCGTCCAATCAAATCCACCGCGTTACACTCAAAAAGCTCGCCATCAGCATCATTCGCAACAACGAGGCTCGAAAGCAGCAAAATCAGGTTATTGACACTGAAACCAGAGCGATCAACCCAGTAATCGCCCAGTCGGTCCAATACGACCGATATACACATCGGTCAACAAACAATACCGCTCGGAATGCGCTTCCAGCTAGCATAATCGCGCGAAATCAGACACCGAACCCCGATTCGAACACAAATGAATCCACAATCAGCGATCAAACAGTTTGTCTACAGAAAATTCAACGAAACTCCAGTGACGTCTCAAACAATCCCCGAATTCCACTAATCACATCGCCCGGACACTAAATAAACATCTCAGATTTCGCAAGAACATTTGCTCCGGCGGCTACCGTACGAGGAAATCCACTCGAAGGAAAGCACACCGTAACCACGCTTTTGAACAACAGGGAGACTTAGAAAACCTACGGGGCAAAAAAAGAGTGATATCGGCGCGCAAAACAGCGAGGATCTCTTCCTTACGGTGTGAGATTTCGCAGATGAAGTCGCCGGCGACGGCGGCGGGCGGCGGGCGGCGGCGATTGGAGCCGGAGGAAGGAGGAGCGTGGGCGCGGGGGCGAGGAATCTGACGATGGCGGGAGATTTGGGGGCAGTGGACTTCGAAATGGCGGGAAAAGCCTTTCTATATCGTGCCGATGAAAAGAGAGAGAGCGGGTTGCCCTAAAAAAATCAAAAATAAATGGAAAAATACCGCCAAAAATCTAAAACTATGATATTGGTGACAAATTTACCCTGAACTTTTTTTTGTGACATAAAAAACCCCAAACTATATTACTGTGATAAATTTACCTGAACTTTTTTTGCGTGAAAATCCAAACTATCATTTGTAAAGTTTTTGCGTAAAATCCCGAACTATGCCACTATATTTTTCGTGTCAAAAAAGTTCGTGGATAAATTTATCACAAGTAATATAATTTGGGATTTTTCATGTCATAAAAAAAAGTTCAAGGTAAATTTATCACAAGTGACATAGTTTGGGATTTTTGTAGTATTTTCCTAAAATAAATATATAGATTGAATGAAAAAAAAAATCAAAAAATATATAATTTGCGTTATTTTAATAAACGAGATTAACAGACCAAAAAAATAAAAAATAAACGCGATTAAACTCTTGTGCAAGGAGAAAACTATAAATTGAAGGCTATAATCTATGAGAGATCAAATATTTGTAGGAAAATTATTTAAATTATAGAACGATAAGATGTACTCATTGGACAAATTTGGTATGTGAGAGACATATCTGATTTCATTTTAGAGAACCCCGTATTACATTTAATCTTGTCCATTATATAAGAACACAAGAATTAATAGACAAAGACCTTTTAGTTATTTTATCTTATAAAAATGTAATGATGATAGTAATTGGTATAAAGTATAGAACATGGACAAGTAGCCATAGATAAATGAGTGAACCGGATGTGTTTGTTTACTGAGAAAACTTGAGATTTTGAAAATATTTTTCAAAAAACGATCGTTTGTATCATTCGTGAAATTAAATGAATGAAAAATAAGTTTATCGTCTACGAAAATAGTTAAACATAAATTATTATTGATAATAAAAACATTTTCTGTTGACTAATATTTTAAAGAGATAATGAATTTTTCACTAAACATTATGCGCCATTATCACCCTTTCGACAGAGCCATCCAAATGATAGCCGTCCTCTATCTTTTAATTTCCAATTGAAGGACACAATAGTTTCCATTTTGAAAGCAAGTGCTGCAATTCTCCCGGATGTTTGACAAGCACCTAACTTTACATTGTATAAATAAGGATAATGGCACAAATGATCCATAAACTTTTATCCAATGTGCAATATCCTCCATAAACCTTTAATATATGCAACGTAGTCCTTGAATTTTGGCCCAACGTGCGATGTCGTCCTTAGACCTTTAATTTATTTAATGCGATCCCTGAATAATTAGTAAATGTTCAATGCAATCCCTCAACTATATAAAAATGGTTAAAAGATCAAGGATGACGTTGCATGTTGTATCAAAGTTCAGTGACCACATCGAACAAATTAAAAATTCACGGACTACATTACATATTGGACCGAAGTTCAAGGATCACGTTAAATAAATTAAAGATTCAAGAACGGCGTTGCATATCATACTAAAATTCGGGGACTATTTGTGCTATCTTCCTATGCAACTTGCGCATTTTTCGCCGGCTTCTCTTCGTGGGAGAGAGAGAGAGTGAGGGGATAACCAAGAAATATGTTAATTAAGCACGGTGCCTCGACCCAATTGATATTGCTAAGATAGTGGGCGCTCTGCCTCGTAGCTTTTTAAAATAATTTATGCACAGTGAACCGATTCCACACATTCTTTGTTTGAACTTGAAGGAAGCCAAAACCAGAAAAGAGAATGAAGACAGAATAACAATGATAATATAATAATCCCGACAAAAAAATTAATGATAGTATAAAAAAATTAGGATGGAGATTAATAAATTAATTCATCCCAAATCGAATCCGTGGAGCCCTTGACCAGCAAAAGTCGATGCAAGAGCGCAGAGATGGGATCTGGCTACGCTATACATCAAATGCATGAAAGGAAACGCTTTGTAAATTCGGACTTAAAATCTGACCAAAAAATAAATAAATTCGGACTTAAAAAGGTTTTTTTGGCTTCATGTGATCATCCCGTTATAGGCATCTGTATATAACAGAAAATCGATAAAAAGGGGTTTGGCGGTGATTTACACAACAAAACAAAAGTGAAAATGCATAAACAAGTCAGTGTGTTGAAAAGTCATTTATTTTGAATTTGTTCTATACTCTACTTAACAATTTATCCATGAATTAATCGGTGATGTAGAAAAGAACTATGTTTCTTGAAAATTTCTCTTGTCGACAAAATGAACTTTATGGAAGTAATATCTAATAATAAAAAAAATTCCTTTAATATACATGAGAAATCTATAATAAACAAAGCTAGACACGTGAAATTGTTAATTATGGTAAGCAGATCATATATAGATATTGAAAAACTAAAAAATAAGGAAAATAAAATTTGGGATCACCACTTTTAAATTGTAATTGAATGATTGAGGATAATTTTATATTTTTTGTGAAAACTTGATGAATTTGGTCATATAGGGGTGGAAATAGCACCACCCACATATGGGAATTTTGTCCTTCGGTAACTAAATCTTACATGAAAATAGAAAAACTGAAAAAGAGGAAAATAAATAAATTTGGGGTCACCACTTTGAATTGCAATCGAATGATTAAGGACGATTTTTGTTTTTTTGGGTAAAAGTTGGGTGATTTTTGTCATATAAAGAGTGGAAACAGCGTCAGTTTTGGTAACTAAATCCTACGTAAAAACAGAAAACACTAGAAAAAACGTAAATAAATATGGGGCCGCCACTTTAAATTGCAATTGAATGATCGAGGACCATTTCGTCCTTCTGACGAAAGCCAAGTGGATTTAATGATATAGGGGGCGGAAATAGTGCCGCCCAAGAAATATAGCGCCTATTCATATACACGACAATTTCATCTTCTAGGTAACTAAATCCTACATAGAAACCAGAAAAACTGAAAAAAGGGTAAAGTAAATAAGTTCGGGGCGATTGAGGACGGTTTTGTCTTTCTGGTAAAAATCGGGTGGATTTTGGTCATATAAGGAGCGTGGCCAAAGAAAAAAGGCAAAAAATAAAATAAAATAAAATAAGAAAAGTTAAAAAGGAAAAGGGGAGAGGAATCGCAGCTTGGCCCGCTCCGGTCTTCTCAAAATAAAGAAAGGGGTAAAAGTCATCGGGTTCCCCATTATCATAAAGCTAAATTATCAAAGCCCGTCGTCGTCGTCGTCGTCGTCCCTCTGCTCACCTCGAATCTCGGGTTTCATCCCACGGGACTCACGGCGCACGTCCTCACATGAACCATTAGCGAAATTTGCTAATTGAGAAACATGGTAGTAATATTCTGTTCCATCTCATCATGTCTAGTTGTCTATGAAGGGGAGCCCATCTTTTTCTTTTTTCCTTTTTTTTTATAGGAAAAACGACTCAAATAGTTTTCTGAACTTCGGCCCAACGTGCAACGTGATCCCTGAATTTTTAATTTGTTCAATGTGGTTCATGGACTTTTAGTACATGTTCAATTTTACTCATGAAATATATGGAAAACGTTCAATATAGTTCGTGAATTTGAATTGATGGAATGACTGTATTGAACATTTTCATATAGTTAACACGTAACAAAAGTCCATGGACCGCATCGAACAAATTAAAATTTCATGGACCAAACCGAACATTAGGATAAAGTTCAGGGGCTACATTGAGAAAATTAAAAGTTCAAGGATCAAATTGCACATTAAGCCAAAATTCATGGACTGTTTGTGTCATTATCTATTTTTTTTTTCACGATAAAGAGCGTAATTTTCACGAATACATGCAAATCGCTTCGTAGCAAACCCTCCACCATGCCGGCACATCGGCACGATGAACACTCCAATACCGAGCAATAACGATTCGCGACGTGGGCTTTTATATCTCCTACGGCAGTGATCGCTCTGTATTTTTTTTTTTTTGTATCGGACGGATTTGACCCATAAAAAATATAAATTTCCATAAAATTTATCGAGTCATCGAGAAGATGATCACCATTAGCAGTACCGTAGCTAGTTTGGAATTTAGATCACTGTTTTTTTTTATATGGTCGTCCATTTAGACCACTCTAATCTCGGAATTTTTAGTAAAAGGTAGATCCGGGCAGCGCTGGTCCCAGTAATTACCGAAGCTTTTCGTAGCCCCGAAAGATGTAATAATACCAAACAGCGCCCCCAACGGCCACTGGCGAACGTGTCCCGTCTGTCGGCGACTATAAAAGCTACTGCACAAGCTCTTTCGGTCTCTCTCTCTAATCGTCGCCGCCGCCGCCGCCGCCGCCGCGGCGGACAGCCGCTTCTCGACAAACGTCGCTCGGCTGTCACTGACCTCCCCTCTCTCTCTCTCTCTCTTTCTCTGCGCTGTCTTCTTCGTCGACTTTACTCTCTTCAGAGCTGCTCGTTACTCTCCTTAGATCGCCTCCGCTTGAAAAGCTTCGTTTGGACTCTTGTCCGTTGTCCTCCTCCTCCTCCTCCTCCTCAATTCCTCCCTACAGCCACCGGCAGAATCTCAATCTCTCTCTCTCTCGCCTCCGAGGGAGTCGCCGGAAATGCTGCGGCCGTGGGCCTCAGCCGGCGGCGTCCTGTTCCTCGCCGCCGCCGTGCTGCTGTTGGCCGGCGTCTCGGCGGCGGCGGATGAGGTCGTCACGTGCTCCGGCATAGTCCCGATGAGCGACCGCGCGGACAGGATCTCCATCGCGGACTTCGGCGGCGTCGGCGACGGCCGGACGCTGAACACCAAGGCGTTCAGGGAGGCCGTGTACCGGATTTGGCACCTGGCCCGGCCCGGGGGCACGCTGCTGTACGTGCCTCCAGGGGTGTACTTGACGGAGAGCTTCAACCTCACGAGCCACATGACGCTTTACTTGGCCGGAGGCGCTGTCATCAAAGCCACTCAGGTAGGTTCATTTTGCCCGGTTTAGTACCAGCAGCAGAAGCTTATCCTCTGTTTTATCTGGAAATTACGTGAGTGAAATTAAAATGATACAGGGTGTGCACTCGCTGAAGAAATGATTAGAGCGATGTCTCATGTTTACGATGAACAGTTCTTGTGTGGTTTGATTGGTTCGTAACGTGGGGAGTCTGTGTGCGTAAAGGGCAATAATTTGGGTATCCGATGAAAGGAGATGCGAGTTCTGTGGTTCAGACCCGCATTTGCACCTGCAGATGTTAATTATTATTTTGCGAGTATTCCCATGTATTTGATAATTTGACCCACCATGCTTGTGCTCGTGTCCGATGCAGACATTGTTTATCTTGGTACGGCGTTTTCTGTAACTTCACAGAGATGGTTGTGCCAATGTATATCATTTAAGAGATAGAGGTCTGGTGCAACTTGGTGGGTCCTGAGATGGGGCTTACATTAAATAAAAGAGATTGGTGGGAGGCTTGATAGCACGCATTCGACTTTGGGTAGGAAAAATTTCGACGGTTGGGGAGCTGATCAAGGGTTTTATATACCCTCTTGATCATGTCAAGTACTTCGTTCTGTAATCTAGGATAATCCGATGGCATAGATTCAACATTGATAGAGAAAATAGTCTCCCTGTCATCTGCTCTGGCTATTTTAAGTTCCATGCTCCACCGGCTTTTGTGGACCTAAAGGACAAGCATCATGTGCAGTATTTAAACTTGTGTGGGCTCCATTGACCCAAGCATATACGAAAGAGAGGCATTGCACCAATTTATTTTTTTCTGTCTTTGTAATTTATAGTGAATGGTGAAGGAAACTCGACCATATGCTGGTTTGCAGATCGAGTAAGCTCCTTAGTGTATATGAATTGCATTTCAAAACATACCTAGTGAGATGGCATGAAGCATGGTGGTGAGGAGTCGAACTTGTCTTGTCTTCGTAACTAGCCACTTCCTAAACCACTATTCCACTCCATGCGGGGAACAGTGCTTGAGGCCCTGAAGTGTTTGTATGCAATGAGAATTAATACATCCATGTGCCTCAACGACTATTTTTCTTTAAATGCTTCTCGTGGACTTGTCCTGGTTACAGTCTGATCTTTTTTAAGCTCTTTGGAATTTATAACCCTCGTGCTGCATAGCACAGAGTTAGTAATCAAGAGCACACGATGTAGAATCAAGCTTGAATACTCTACACAACTATACTTGCGTCTCTTGGCCATTCTTGATTTTGTCTATTCTTATCCTTCTTCAGGATACTTCGAATTGGCCACTAATTGCGCCATTGCCGTCTTATGGAAGAGGCAGGGAGCACCCTGGTGGAAGATATATGAGCTTCATTCATGGAGATGGCCTTCAAGACGTGATAATCACTGGTAGGTATCCCAAGCAATGTGATTTAACAACAGAACTTGAGTGTGTACTAGATGATTCTATCTCAACCTTAGAGCATCTTATGAGAATGATCCATATGAACTCAAGCTCCAATGAGAGAGGCTGTCATAGTTACTGCAGTTTTGCAAGTTCCGTTGCGAACTAGGGGACATTATGTCACCAAGTCCCAACTTGGTGCTTTGAGTTGTCTCAACTAGTTTGCTTCTCTTTATTTTTGCTAGCACTAGTTGTTTTACTTAGCTGAATGGAGTTGTTCTGATGGAGAGTAGCTTTGGTATAGTCTACAACTATTGCAGATTTATCCGGCATGGCTTGGATGTTATCGTCTGAGCAATTACTTTTACATTAGTTGTTTTTTTACTCTTTCCAATTGAATGCACTTGGAGATTGAGTCATTTGTTTGACTATTGGTTGAGTTGGGATCTCATACCAAAAATTGGGTAAGGGACACAAGTTCTGCCACATCCCTAGAGCCATCACTTGTTCATTGTCATGAACCTGTCGTACTACTTGGAATAAAAACGTCTACCTGTTGAGATGGAAGTAACATCCGCTAGCTTATTTCTGAATTTTTTATGAATGACACCTAAATGTATTTGACTAGTTTGACAATTGTTTGTGTAGGTGAGAACGGGACAATAGATGGCCAAGGAGATGTCTGGTGGAATATGTGGAGGCAGAGAAGTCTCAGTTTTACCAGACCAAATCTTATCGAATTGGTTAATTCCAGAGACATCATAATTTCCAATGTGGTTTTCCAGAACTCTCCGTTTTGGAATATTCATCCCGTTTATTGTAGGTACGTGAAGCTTATTTTTGTAGTAAATTGAAGTTCATAGGTTCCGAAACTCGAGGGTACCGTAATTACTTGGTTGACACGGGTACTTTGGACACTAATTTTGGTACTTGCCCAATTCTTCTTGCAGTAACGTGGTTGTCCGTAATGTGACTATATTAGCTCCACTGGACTCTCCCAACACAGATGGGATTGATCCAGGTAACCTTTATGATGAGACTTGACCTGTTATCCCGTGTATCTTTTGTATATAAAAGTCGTTAATTCAAAACTGAGCTACGGTGTTTGACTGGGAAGGACTGTTCTACTGTTTATATTGAACAAACTGTGCTCCGGAGTCTGATCCATTAAATTTAGCTCATGCCACTAGTTTGACTACTGTTGAGAAGAGTCTCTGGGATGAAAATTTTGCTATACTAATTTGATTATGCTGTGTTGTTGTTTTGGTAGTTTTGTATGTAAATCTTAAGTCAGTTCTTTTCTCATTAGACAATTTTAGAAAACTAGGAGTTGAAAAAGTACCATCAAGCAGCAACTTTGCAGGCGATTGTTGCTTATATCTTACCTCGCTTGCGCATTCTTTCATTAAACATTGAACTTAATCAGAGACTTGACTTTGCGCCTACATATGAGTAGCTATGAAATTGCTCCCTCATGTTGAAAATTTCTTATTGACTTGCTAAATTTATTCCTTCTTTTCTCTACGACCCGCTGATACAGATTCAAGCTCAAATGTCTGCATAGAGGATTCGTACATATCTGTTGGAGATGATCTTGTCTCAGTGAAAAGTGGGTGGGATGAGTATGGTATTGCCTATGGTCGCCCAAGCTCCAATATTACCATCCGCAGATTAACAGGATCATCCCCATTTGCCGGTATTGCAGTAGGAAGTGAAACCTCTGGTGGGGTAGAGAATGTCCTGGCTGAAAACATTAACTTGTACAAAGTGGGTGTTGGAATCCATGTGAAAACAAATACCGGGAGAGGGGGTTTCATAAGAAACTTAACCTTCTCCGGTGTCTACGTGGAGACTGCAAGAAAGGGGATAAAGATTTCAGGCGATGTTGGAGATCATCCCGACGACAAGTACGACCCAAATGCTCTTCCGGTTGTGAAAGGCATCTTGATAAAGGATGTGTGGGGAACAAATGTTCAACAGGCAGGTCTCATACGAGGCATAAAGGACGCCCCTTTCACTGGCGTTTGCCTTTCTAATGTCAACCTCCGCGGCAAGCTGGGGCCGAGAGAAGATCCGTGGTCGTGCTCTGATGTGAGTGGGGCTGCCTTCAAGGTGAGTCCATCCCCTTGTTCAGAGCTGACTAGCGTCTCTCAAAGCGCTTCGTGTGCTATCTACTCCTGAAAATCTTGTAACTAGCTTGATTTGAATGAAGAAATTGAAGTTGCCAGCATGCTGTGTTATTGTAACCCTTTGGGATTTCAAGCGCATGCTTAGAATAAAATTATGACTATATTCTTTCAAATCTGTTCATTATCGATTCGGCTTATGTCAGAACTTGAGTCCCAAGCAAAACTTTTCCTGCCAGCTCTGCCGTTACAAAATATAAATGATCATCACTGCCGACCAGCATTGGCAGCTCGCCCAGAATAACCACCACTAGCATCCCCATTAATGACGAGGTGGGTGACAGGGATTTGATGTGGTATTTTCGGTGTTGTTTGCACCCACGAGAAATGTTAGGTATGTAAAACTTTGTAACCAAAATTCGTTCATAACGTGATATGAGAACTTAATTAAATCCCCACCCAACAAGATAAATTCATTCGCTTTTCAACCAAATATATCAATACTTTTGCCAATTTGTACTATTAGCAGCGTTGAGTAGCGAAGACAATGATTGGGATGGAATGGGACGAGATGGGATATAGAACGTGGGGGACTTGTCATGTCCTACATCTTATCTGATCATAGCCCAGGCTGGAATGACTTTAAAAAGAAGAAGAAAACCCTATTCTCTGATGGGTTCAAAATCGATCGTCGCTTTGGTGATTGCCATTTCCGCGGCGACCTCCACAGCCGGACTGCCTGACCATCGGCACCACCGCGGCAGAAAACAAGTTTGGCTCGAGGGTCAACCACGAGCCACAAATCCGATATACCATGTCGACGAGTGACGATAACTGTGGTTGTCGCCGTCGCTGTGAGGTGCGCTCACCACTGAGTGGTCGTGATGGCCCGATTTGCCTAGATTTGGTCACTCCGCCTTTGACATAGAACAAAACTCTCAGGCGACCACCGAACCGCGGTCGACAATGGCACCATGATGGCACCGCAGAGTAGCAAGGCAATTTTCGTATATGCTTAGTTACTTCTTTTTGTTTTCTATAATTTTCAATCAAAACTAGGTGGGATAAAATTATCTTGCTTTCTTTAGGATAAATCCAGTTGATCACGTTGAAGGTAGGCGTGTCTCGAAACGCCGGATATGATAAATCTTATCCTATCTGGCCTTATATCTAGGCTGCCAAACACACCCTTAGAGTCCGAATAACTATTCCATCACAGTCCTATTCTACTCTTGCTGTCAAAATGCATGAATCAATGCTCTGTCAAGATGAAAAATGATTCGACGTCTCTCCATGTTAAATGGCAAGAGAGTGCAACAAATTCCACGATGTTGATTTGGACGAGTGCTAACATGCTATGCATATATGTAGGAAACTTAAAAGCATATAACCTCAGTCGAAGTCCTTGGAAAACCAAACTCTAACCTTCAGTAAATCATATCGTCTCTTCAGAAACATTCGAAAACATCCTCAACTTCATTAAGATTCAGATCGTCCACATCCTCACAGTGACGATGATCACGATGATGACGCGTCCCTCTCTCTCTCTCTCTTCGCTGGAAAGAAGTGCGAAGCAGGAGCAGCACTTCCACTTGCTTTCGGCAATTAACATGAACATTATTCTTGAAAAATAATCTCCTCTTAAAGAATCTGCATGTTATGATTTAGCGACATTGAACCCAGCACATATCATCCATGCTGTGCTAAAACGACAGTCACAGCGGTTTGCCATGTTAAAACTCCGACATGCTCCACCATATTTTATCTGATCTTCGTATGTTGAGGGCGGTTTTGCTCGCTGAAAAGCAATTACTGGAAATAAGTAAGTAGTTTAATTTTTGGTATTTAGCGGACGGCCATAAAAATTTCATTCGTGCACAAGCACTCAAATCTTAAAATAAACTTATGGTGCGCAAAGTTTTTCACAAATCAAATGCAAGTATAAATCGGAGTCAGAAAATCGAGAAGGAGACTATCCAACAGGCGCAACGAGCGGTCGCCATTTTATCACAGGGTGAAGCTCGCAGCTCATCAAAAGAGCGCCTGCAGCGATATACCTTATTGCATTCACTGAATATTAAGCACGCGAATACATCTGGATCAAATCGGCCTACAATTTATTATCGAAGAAAAAGCTTCGTTTATTATTTTGAGCATACCATTATCCAAAATGAAGTCACAGATAAAAAATTGAAACTATCTTTGAGTGGTCTTGAAAGGCAATTACTATTGATCTTAGCTGGTTTTTTTTGTCATTTTCCTCTTTTCTCCGTTGGCATTGTTGACAAAGTGAACAGACTCAAAAAGCATTAATCAACCCTAAACGAAAGTTTATGTAGTACTAGAAGAATACTATTACATATATCTGATGAGCTGCTAAGAGCAGCCATCGACAAACTCATTGAAGCATTTTGCTACTCAAACTAAGAATAACAATGGAATAAATACAGCTTTTCTGCGTCCTCTCATCAGCTTGGAACCCATGCCAGCCTTTGTCTGAAACTGATAACTCAAACGTTGTTAGAACCAAAAAACAAGAGAAAGATGAAAAGCTAGTAATTACCTGCGATGCACCTAACAAATGGAGGGTGAATGGTATGGCTTGTCTTCGGCCTGAACATGGCTAGAACATTATTCACTCTTCCCAAGGACCTCAGTTTCCACCGGGAGAAAGCGAGAAATCAATGACCGGTATGCGAGAGCACACGCCACGGATTGCATCCGGACAAAAACTCAGTCGCCGAACATGCGAAATACGGAAGCCCTTGAAGGAGAGTGAGCAATGCTGAACCATCGCATACATGCTTTTTTCACCGGCTCGATCAAGATGCATTCTTTGCACTCACCCAAAAGACTTCCGACCATGTGATCTTTTTTCACTAATCAGACCGGCCATGGCCGGAAGGCTTTGAGGGAGAGTGCAAAGTAGAGAAATGCCTTGGTTTCAACAACTCCCTCAAAACTACAATCTCGAACGATAATACTGCAAAAGCAAGACAAAGCTTTGTTCGCTATCCCCCAAAGGCTTCTACTTCTAAGCCTTTGAATTTCACATCAAAACCAAAAAGTGAGACATAGGATCAGAAGCCCTTGAGGGAGAGTGAGCAACCCAATTTGCCTTGGGAAAAACCCTTCACTTTGAGCATCTTTATCTTGCTCTAAGCTTTTGATCCTGAGGAAATAGGATTGGCGGAGAACCCCATTTTATAGTGACAAAAACAGGCCATAAGAAAATGTGGAGAAAAATAGGTGGCCATCATGGTGGGATCCCCATATCTTGGCTCTTGACTTTAGTGGCAAACCAGATCCTCTTTGCTTCCAAGTAGGTCTTTTATAATCGATATATAAAAGTAGGTCATCGTGCATGGATAAAGATTGGAAATCAAAATGTGCTTGACACTTGTGCAGACAGAGACATTTGAAGCCCTAGGAAAAAGGTCAGGGTGACTTCGCTATCAAATCCAAATTGATTGTTTCGAGTAGGATTACATGATTTGACATGAACACGAATAACATAAACCCTAAAATTCGATAATTAGTGTATTGAGATATGGAGTTGTATTTCTATTTTCGTGTCATGTCGTGGCATATCGTACATAAGAGTATATACGCCGATCAATTGAGATTTTGTAAGATGAACTTGGATTTGCCAATTTTCCGTTGGGATCAACTCTTGTTATCTTGTAATTGTTATGTTGCATCGCGTTAGGAATGTCTCATACACACGCCTTGAAAGTTTATTCTAAATGCACAACAATGTATATTGTTAAATAAATAAAATTAACATATACTCAAATCCTCTTAACTTTTTTATGGGATTAAATCGTTTTCTCATACCATATCATGTCATGTCGAGAACTCTGAGTCCACGAAAGTACAATTCCCATTTATAGATAGTTGATAAAAAAAAAGTGAGAAATGATAAACAAGAGGAATGAGGCAATGTCATCAAAAGCATTGGCAAAGTTAGTTTTTTTTAACTCATTTCGAAAATTATTAATCAAGATACATAGAGAAAAGTGGAAGAATGAAAAAAGGAAAAATGAGAAATGAGAAGAGAAGAAAAATGAGACAAGTGTCACCAAACCCCATCTAACGCTAGCTTTCATTTATAGAGTATTTATTTATAATATGGACATTTTCTGGTGTACCAAATAATTTCGGTATTAGTAAGAAAAACCCAAAAATCAATACTACGTGTTAAGAGGATTTTCAAGTCAAAAGTTATCAAAGAGGATGGAGAGAATAGCAAAGGACGTTCCCGGTTTGATTGATTAGATTTTCAACTCGGAAAAATCTCAATTCAAATCAAACTTTGATATAGGGATTTCGTCTAAACTATTAATGCCCATATATACATAATGTGCTTAATATTAACTTCAGACTATTTACTTCTAGTATTACACAAAACATCAACAAAAGAATTTCCCCATAAACTATATGACAAACACATAAGTTATAAATGTAAGAACACATGTGTAGTAGTAAGATTCTGCTATTTAAATTATATCTATTACATATGAAATGCACTAAATAATGACATATAACGTTTATCGATTAATATTATCTATTTGGTAAGGCCCGGCGTGATTTTTTTTTCCGAAATAATCGATTTGATTTCTGTTCAATTTCTCGTTACGATTTTCCTTTAACGCCCTTATATACATTTTACAGAAAAGTGCTCCGAAAATTCATGCGTAACATGAAACAGTTGACAAAAATGAAAGAACATTTAAATTCGTATTCGAATGCTTTGTATCTCATGAATCAACTTTTCAACCACGATTGATCTACTTTATATCTTCAAAATGAAAGAACATTTAAATTCGTATTCGAATGCTTTGTATCTCATGAACCAACTTTTCAACCACGATCGATCTACTTCATATCTTCAATAGTTGATCTAGTCTCCATCTAAGTAGGTAAGTAATTTAAGATTTAGGTTGCCCGATTCTTGTCCCCAATTTGGGGCCCTACATGAACCCTCGACAGATGGGCAATAATTACTACCTTTTCTTTTGGTTAATCGAGAATAATGCAACTTATCTTAGGCATATGAATCTTATCCACATTACTATTATTATTTGCACGTCAACGCAAAGGGAAAATTCCAAAATTGACATTCCACATTCGCCAAATCCTACTTTTTTTTTCCTATCCCTTTTGCTTTAAATCTCGACACCCAATGGCGAATCTTCCAACTGAATTAAAATAAATAAAGAAAGGTGCCTTAACAGTTCTCACACATGTCCCAAAAGAAAAACCTTTTCTTTCTTGTATGGTGGCGACAACTTCCTCAAACATTCTTGTCGTTCGGAGAAGGGAAGAGACATATGGTAAAAGTTAGCATTTTGACACCTGATTATCATCAATTCTGGCCATTAAAATAGTCTGGTTAGAAAGCACGGTGAAGTATTTTTGAGAATCATTGAGGTTTGCTCTAGTGGCCACCCTTCCTAAAGGAAATGGGGAATTCGACTTCCCACCTTCTCAAGGGGACTAGGGGTGGGGACGTTTAGTTTCAGATATGAGTTTTGATTCCCACGCTCTGCAAAGAGATATGACAAAAGTTTGAGAGTGAGTTGATGGTTAGAATATGACAGACCCAAAAAAAAAGTATTTTTGAGTAAATGGATGTAGTAATTACAAAGTGATCAAAAGATAGGGTTACTTAGATTTATTTAGGGGTGAGAAGTAGGAACGCAGATAACCTAGCTATCTTTAAAAATAAAATGAGTATTTTCTGTATATAACTAATTGGCGTTTGGGGTTTAGGGAATCGCAAACTGAAATCTAAGCCCAAACTAAACCCCATCATAGGATTTTCCTAAATGGGACCCAAAGCTCACCCCCTTAACCTTGAACCCTAAAATGTAAATTATAGCCCCGTTTTGGTGAGCTGAGTTCTCGATTTATCTACGCTAGCCGCCATCTCCACTTTGTTTGGTAATTCAGGTTAGATGGAAAATGGATGACAAAGGACAAAAAAGGAAATGGAAGGAAAAACAATTGAATGGAAATTTTAATATCCCATGTTATCTAGAGGTGATTGGTTTTTGGGTGGAGCGGTTCCGAGACCAAGATCGAGACCGAAACCTGGAACCTACTTTGCATGTCCCGGTTTCGAAAAATGGAACCGGGAACAGAACCCGGTTATACTTGAAACTGGCTTGGAACCAAATCGATCGATTCTCAGTTCTACCCAAAAACAGGATTTTTTTTGTAAAATTCACGTAGTTGATATTATGTATTATTTGCTTAGCCTATGACTTATGAAGTCTTGTTAGTTGTGTGATCTTGTATGCCTATGTCAAACCCCAAGTCATGAGAAAATATACAATGATTTGCGAGCACCAAGCCAACAGTTGATGAGGCGCTTATTTACTCAACTCCAACTATAACTTGACACATGGACATTGGTTTGGAATCATATTAAAAAACTAAAAGATATGATTTTTCTCTCTTCCTCCTCCATCCAGCCACCCTTGAGTCAGCCATCCATGGGATCCAGTTCGGCGTCTCCACCACCCAAGTGGTCGATGGGACTCCTCAGCCCCACGCCCTCAGTCGTCGTGTGTGAACGAGCCATTGTCGTCGCTAGCGGCCGAGGCACAAGGGCTCAAGATTTGGAAGTTCGGCTGGGCCAAATCTAGAGGCACCGGCCATTTGATTATGCTATGTTGGTATATTGGTAGTTTTGCATGTAAATCTTAAGTCAGTTCTTTTCTTATTAGACAATTTTAGAAAACCAGGAGTTGGAAAAAGTACCATCAAGCAGCGATTTAGCAGGCGAGGATTGCTTATATCTTACCTCGCATGTTCTTTCATTAGACATTGAACTTAAGCAGAGACTTGACTTTGCGCCTACATATGAGTAGCTATGAAATTGCTCCCTCATGTTGAAATTTTCTTATTGACTTGCTAAATTAATTCCTTCTTTTCTCTGCGACCCGCTGATACAGATTCGAGCTCAAATGTCTGTATAGAGGATTCGTACATATCTGTTGGAGATGATCTAGTCGCGGTGAAAAGTGGGTGGGATGAGTATGGTATTGCCTATGGTCGCCCAAGCTCCAATATCACCATCCGCAGATTAACAGGATCATCCCCATTCGCCGGTATTGCAGTAGGAAGTGAAACCTCTGGTGGGGTAGAGAATGTCCCGGCTGAAAACAGTAACTTGTACGAAGTGGGTGTTGGAATCCACGTGAAAACAAATACCGGGAGAGGGGGTTTCAGAAGAAACTTAACCTTCTCCGATGTCTACGTGGAGACTGCAAGAAAGGGGATAAAGATTTCAGGCGATGTTGGAGATCATCCCGACGACAAGTGCGACCCAAATGCTCTTCCGGTTGTGAAAGGCATCTTGATAAAGGATGTGTGGGGAACAAATGTTCAACAGGCAGGTCTCATAGGAGGCATAAAGGACGCCCCTTTCACCGGCGTTTGCCTTTCTAATGTCAACCTCCGCGGCAAGCCGGGGCCGAGAGAAGATCCATGGTCGTGCTCTGATGTGAGTGGGGCCGCTTTCGAGGTGAGTCCATCCCCTTGTTCAGAGCTGACAAGAGTCTCTCAAAGCGCTTCGTGTGCTACCTACTCCTGAAAGTCTTGTACCTAGCTTGATTTGAATGGAGAAATTGAAATTTCCAGCATGTTGTGTTATTGTAATCATTTGTGATTTCAAGCACATGCTTAGAATAAAGTTATGACTATATTCTTTCGAATCTGTTCATTATCGATGTCGGAACTCGAGTAATAAGCAAAATTGTTCCTGCCAGCTTTGCTGTTACAAAATACAAAGGTTAATACCACAAAAAATCTCAAACTATGCTTACTGTGACACGAATACCCTAAACTTTTTTTGTATCACTAAAATCTCTAAATTTGCCCATTGTGACACAAATACTGTAAATCTTTTTTTTTTCTGTCACCAAAAACCCCGACCTTATACCAGTGTGACAAATATACCAGGGATGGAATTGTATTAGATGGTATATATGTCACATGTGTATAAGTTTGGATTTCTTCGTGACACAAAAAAAAGTTTGGAGTATTTACATCATAGTTGCCAGATTTAGTGTTTTTGGTAACAAAAGAAAGTTGAGCATATTTGTGTCACAGTAGGTATAGCTTGGGGTTTTTGTTGGAAGATATGCGATATCATTAGGATTGATATGCAAAGATCAAGTGGGATTGGATTTGATTTGTAGAATTTCTTATTTCCTTTATTCATTTATGCATTGTATTATAAATGTGTACATCGTGTATTGAGCAATACAGAGAAAAATATACATTGAATTTTCTCTCAAAGCCATCTCTCCTTGTCTTCGATCTTGGTTTCTTTCATGGTATCAGAGCGGCTTCACTCCTGACTTAGCTTCCGCAAGTCCTCAATGATTGCCTGTCGAGAATTTGGACCTGAAAAAACAAGGTACCCTTCCAGCGAAGGAATCAGATTCTAAGCAGACGAAGAAAGGTTAAAGGCTACACACTTACCCTCATCATGAATCAGAAACAACCATCATCTTCCGATCGGTCTTCCCCAGAAGATGTTACGGATCAACATACCTCGAAGGGAGTTACCCCACAAATTCCATAGACTCTGGATCCACAGACTGTGGTTTCCAGGGGCCAGGCCCAGCCTATTTTTTGGCAACCCTATCAGGCTCAGACAAATACAAGGCAGCTCCTACCGAGCCCGCCCATTGTGGGCCAGCCAATCGGGAGCCACCCTTACCAATGGATACAGAGTCCATGGTACCTTGGGCCAAGCCCAAATGCATCATTGCTTGGGGCGGGCCAAGCGAATGTCCAGCCCAGCAGTGGACTACCAGCCACAAGTGGAGCAAGCCCAACTAAAGGATCCGAACCAGTCAATGCGGGGATATCGATCGGGTCAGGAAATCCGGGTATGGGTCCAAATCCATACCCGGTTCTGCCACCCGGTTATTTGTCGTATCAAATGACGACCATCACCGGCTGACCAGAACCCGACGACGCTCTCTACGTCTCCGCCGCCGATGGACTGGAGTTGCGGCTGATTAGCCACCATCTCACGGGATCTGGAGATTACTCGATCTGGGCACAGGAGTTCCGACGGGCTCTTGTGATGAAGGACAAAGACGGATTCATCGATGGATCTGTCCCGATCTCGAATGACGAGAGAATGGCAACACAATGGAGAAAATGCAATCAGCTCGTTAGAACGTGGATCGGGAACTGTATAAGCCCAAAAATCGCCGTCGGACTCCCCCCCACAGAAGATGCAAAAAACATGTGGAATAATATAAGAGAGATGTACGGGAAATTGGATCATGTGAAGATTTTTTCCCTCACCCAGGAACTTTTAGATCTAAAACAAGGGAATATGAGCATAATCGCATGCTTCAACAAACTGTCGGCTCTCTGGAACGAGCTGGAATCAGTCGAGGAAAAGCTCGAGGGGCCCGAAACCACATTACAACAGTATAGGGCGATGAAAGACAGGGAGAAAGTCACATGATTCCTTCTGATTTTGAATGAATCTTACCTTACCTTTAGATCGCAGATCCTCGCCATGGACCCGGTGCCGCCGCTTGGACGCATCTTTCAGCTGGCGGTACAGGAAGAGAGCCAACGACCCACCTCGCCGGAGCATGCAAGGGGAGCAGAAAGCATCGCCCTTGCGACTCGCGGCGAGCGTCGTGAATCGGGTTCTAGAACCCTAGACCGAGAGAAGGAGCGGCGAGGGTTTGTGGGCAATGATCTGCAGCAGATTAAAGGAAATGGGATGGACGGTGGATATCTTAGCTCGTGATCTGATGGCTGGAAAGGCACCGATTCCTTAGTGGAATCGGACGGTGGACATCAAACCCATCCAAAGACATCCAATGGCCCAAGTTTTTCGGGTGCACAAAAATTTTTCGGGCAAAATTTAAAAAGAATTTTTTTTTTGTGAATATTGCAGGTGGCCCCATCACACAATCGACAACTGCTGGAAATTGCATGGTAAACCCGGGGAAAAGGGAAAGAAAGGAAAAGAATCCTCGGCTGCGGCTTATCAAGTCACTGGTCCAAATAATGATCAACCCATCACATATGGACAATATCAACAAATTATGCAAGCATTACAAAAATTAGACACTTCCAACAAGGGAAGTAGTTTTTCAGGTATTACTCATTGCTTGATAAATTCTATTTTCAGAAATGCTTGGATAATTGACTCAGGGGCAAGTGACCATATTATCGGTGACAAGGGATTATTCTCCATTATTCATAGAAAATTAAGTATTCCTATCTCTGTGAAATTGCCGAATGGGAATGTTACTCATGTCACTATGATAGGGACAGTAAATATTAGTTCTCAAATCACACTAAAAAATGTCCTTTTTGTCTCAGACTTCCAGTTCAACCTCATATCTGTGTTTAAAGCCTATGAAGAAAATTCTTGTCGAATTTTTTTCGATTCTGATACTTGTTTCTTTCAGGCCCTTTCGACTGGCAGACTGATGGGCTTGGGTAATCTCTCTGAAGGATTATATTTTTGGACCAGCTTTCCCAGAAATTTTGATTTATCATGCATTCCTTTCAATAAACAATCATAGTGTAATTCGACTGCCAATGATAAAAATTTCCTTGTGCATTCTAGAATGGGGCATAGTGCTTTATTTCCTTATTCTCAGTGTCATATTTGCCCACTTGCAAAACAATCTCGTATACCTTTTTCTCTTAGCAAGAGTTGTGCTATCGATACTTTTTCTTTAATTCACATTGATGTGTGGGGGCCATATCACACGTCGAACCATGATGGATCTCGGTTCTTTCTCACCATTGTGGATGATTATTCCAGAGCTACATGGGTTTTCCTTATGCAGTCTAAAGCTCAAGTTTTCCATAACTTGAAGACATTCATTTCCTTATCAAAGACACAATTCGGAAAATCTATTCGACGCATCCGAACAGATAATGGAAGGGAATTTTTCAACTGTGAGTACGACAATTTTTTCTTATCTCATGGAATTTTACATGAAAGCTCATGTAGTTACACCCCACAACAAAATGGGGTGGTTGAAAGAAAACACCGCCATCTCTTGGAGGTAGCATGGGCGTTAAAGTTTCAAGCTTCTATCCTAGAAATTTTTTGGGGCGATTGCGTGATAACGGCGGCCTACTTGATTAATCGGATGCCATCGAAGGTACTCAACGGACAGTCGCCATTTGAGCTCCTATTTAAAAAAAGGCCAGATCTGGACCATTTGCGAATTTTTGGATGCTTATGTTACGCCACTTCTACGGGCCCTCGGGACAAGATGGGTCCCCATGCTCGGCACTGTATATTCATGAGATACCCGAATCTACAAAAGGGTTATCGTCTTTTTGACCCATCCACAGGAGAATTTTTTGTAAGCAGGGATGTCGTATTTTACGAAAACACCTTTCCTTTTGAAGGTGACTCCTCCAAGGAAGATGTAGGGGTCAAAAATGCTCCTCGTATTTTTTCCATTGAAGAAGAAGGTTTAAGGGATCCCACCTATGTTCCGACTATTCAAGGTTCTCCAATACCTGACATAATTCCTACTGACGATGCTTCTCCATCAACAGCATCGGAACCGGTGGAAGACGATGCGACCATTGAAGATCCTCCATATGCCGAAGCATTATCACCTGTTTTGGAGGAAACTTCACCCTCACCACCAAGAGACCCTCCACGACGTTCCGGGAGGATCACACGTCCACCCACGTGGACTAAAGACTATGTTTGTGCCACTCACAATTCACCAGGTATTCGATATCCCATTTTAGCCTATGTTTCATTCAATAAACTCTCGTCGGAACATAGATGCTGTATTAGCCGAATATCTGAAGATTGGGAACCTTCCAACTATGATGAAGCCTCCACTGATCCACGATGGCAAAAGGCTATGGCAGCTGAGTTGCAAGCCTTGATTGAGAATAACACATGGGAGCTTGTGCCACTGCCCCCTCATCGGAAGCCGATTGGATGCAAATGGGTGTACAAGATCAAGTATCGATCATACGGATCCATTGAACGGTACAAGGCTCGTTTGGTGGCTAAGGGTTTTACACAACGGGAAGGTTTTGATTACCACGAGACATTCTCTCCAGTAGCCAAAGATGTCACTGTCCGATCTTTCATGTCGGTTGCGGCATTCCAAAACTGGACTTTACACCAAATGGATGTCCATAATGCTTTCCTTCATGGTGATTTGGATGAGGAGATTTATATGGAAGTTCCTCCGGGCTTTCGGAGACAAGGGGAGGATAAAGTATGTCGTCTCCGTAAATCCCTATATAGTCTTAAACAAGCTTCCCGGCAATGGTATGCTAAATTTGTGAATGCACTCACAGCTGCAGGATTCAAGCAATCCCGTTTTGACTATGCCCTTTTTACGTGGATAAAAGGTATGTCATCCATTTATTTAATGATATATGTCGATGATATACTTATTATTGGCAATGATGAAAATGTCATAAAAAGTTTCAAGTAGTATACGCATTCCACATTCCATATAAAAGACCTGGGATCACCTAAGTACTTTCTGGGAATTGAAATTGCCCGATCCGATCAAGGAATTTCCCTCAGTCAACGGAAATTTGTGTTGGAAATTATATCGGAAGCAGATCTGTCAGGATGCAAGCCAGCTGTTGTTCCAATCGA